CGAAAGACCTTCGTCAAAATGGAGATATTTCCATTTAAGTACTTTCGGCTAAGAAGTGGAACAGCATCTTTGATGGATAGAATGTAAACGTTCTTTTATTTTTTACATTAACAAAGATTGTTTTTGTTCGGTTTAACATAAGGGTAAGCGAGGGCATTGGTGTTCCTAGTATCCTCATTAGTTTGTTTGAAACAGGTGGGTTGCCATTTTGCCAAGTGTGATGGATTCATCATTTACGAATGCAAATTGGAACCCGGGTAAGGAAGAACTCGAATTTCAATAAATATGAGGTCATTGATCAGGGTGTTTTGGATTCCGATTCTCATGCCTTTTTTTCTAATAGCGCACTCATGTGGGGTCAGGTGTTATATAAGGCCGGGAGAGGAAACTACTCGGGAGAAGAACGCTTGGAGAAATCCGAAGATTTCCCTGAAGGGCTGTGCAAGCCCATCAACAGAGCGACTGCTCCCTCTGAATGGCAGGAGGGAAGTGAGCCCTCCGTCAACTCCCCTGACATCCACTTTTCCATTTCCGGGTTTCTCACTTATTTGGGGAATCTTTCGCTCGCGGTTCTTCGCTGCATTTATTTTCGGAACTTAATCGGGAATGACCTGCTGCTAGGTAATCGGGACTCTCATTGACAGTAGGACCTGGAATGAATGCGGACTTGTCAGGTGTTTATGCCAGTTCCGAAGGCTCGCAAACAGTGGGTCATGTTTGTGAAGTGAACGCAAAAAAGGGGTTTTTCAAGTATGCTTCATTCGACCTTTTCCTCTCATTCATTGTCTTCATATTTGATTGACTTCTTATATAGGGCGAGGCAAAGTTACCGTCAAATCATTTACACTGAGTGTAAATGCAAGTGCAAGTGAACTAAGTCTCCTTTGTTTCAGAGTAATACTGCTGGATAATGCTGGTAGCTTTAGAAGTTACATTGCACGATCAATTGTCAGTGATATCTGCGTTTTGTTGTAAACAACGGTCGATATTGCGTAAGAAATTAATGTTTTCAATATCCAACAACTCTAAAAGTGATTTTTTTCCCGTCGATTTTGCTATTTATTGTGATTACCACTTGTAGCTTTTGTGTTGTTAATCGCGAGCGTGATGAAGTAAAATCTTATGTAGTTGCGTGAAAGCCATTTTTCACAGGCTTGCCCTTTTTTCAACCTCTACCTCAACCGCAACCCCCCCTACAGAATTCGCTTTCGTTAGGCCTAGGCTAAACCAACTGACTGTCTTCGGGGTAGGCCTTGCCTTACAATCTTCCGCTCCAAATGAACTCAATCCTCAACTTCCTGAGCAAGTTTGGCCAAAAAGGATTAATCTCTGGTTCTCGAGACATCACATCCAGGACATGTAATGTTTGACCTGTTTCGATTTACATAAACCATTTCAGTGCAGATGCTGAAAGTTAGGTCCTACATACAGTGCTCCTACAGAACTACCGCACTTAGTAGAGTACGATTAGATTCTATTGAATATATGGGAATGCATGCTTCCTATAGGGCCATTCCATGCCAACTGACCGCGAGGTGACGTTCGTCCATCTCAGAAAAAATAAAATAAAACATTTCAGAGTTAACCGGTCTTTCAGGAAACTTAAAATTGGGAATATTTAATTGTTATTCCCTTTGGTAAATGATATATGAATCTTGAAAATATCGGTTTTCATGCACGTGTGACCCCTCGGGCGAACTTCGTAACTCTCAAACTGCAGCTAAAAAGGCATGTCGTGAGAGAAAGGAGAACTGCCACCGGTCAAATTCAATCTTGGACGTCCCGATTGCTAGCCCAAGAACCTGATTCAGCCGATGTCGCAGAGTAGATTACTCACATGTCCATTTTTCTTGGTTCAAGGCTTTTGCTTCGTACCTGTTTAATTGAAAATGACTCTCCGGCAGAACGTAAAGTCTTGACGAATCCCGATCCGGTGGGGTTTTCTTCTATGCACGTGATTGCAGTTTCGGTTTTCGAGGACCCTGTCGACTGTCATAATATCGCTAATCTGCCCTCGACTCGACATAGAACAAGATGTCTTTCAGAAATCATAGTAGGCCTCGTTGCAGTGGGCTTGGACGATAGACGTTCAGACAAGAGGTCGGGCGGCGAATGGAAAACTGCCAATATGTCATTCACTTTGGATGGGACTGCATTGCAAATTAAAACCAATTTCTTTGCTAATTATAATCAGATTTTTCGTTTTATTGAAGCACTCTGACGACTTATTGGACGCCCAAATTATTTCCCGCATTAATGTTGCCCAATGGCGCCCAGTGGCGTCACAAATGACAAAGTAAAACTGATCTGAAGGCATTTCTAACCATCTGAATGCTCAATCTTAAAAGCTTAATCTTGGACGACAGAGTTTGAGGAATGCCATCCAAAAGTATTCATTTATTCATGTCATACGAGGAAAAGCGACCACCTGTGCTACTGATAAGCAATGATGAATCGAGTACCTTGTCCAAAATTCGATCTACAGACGCCAGAAGCACTTAAATGATCTACATTGGTTTAAACGTGAAAGGAAATGCAAAACAGACTCTGAAATTCTTCAACTAGGACCAGGAAAATTCGATAAAGTTCCTGTCGTCACATTGCGTAATTGGACTGGAATACGTTTACGAATTCTTGGCATTTTTTTTATCAGATTCATTTGCAAGTTACACGTCTTACCTACATGCAAGTTTTCACTCAACAGAGAGACTCACAATTCTCTTGAACTATAAAATGGAATCTTGGTACTCTATGGCTTTGAAAGATGGAGTGCAGGAGAGTCCTGAGGCCTCCAACTTCACCGACTCTCCTCCTCTAAGCCTGAGCGCCCTCAATCCAAGTGGAACTCTCACCAAAAATTGAAGCGAATGGCAGTGTCTTCCAGTGTACTGAGGCTCAGAGCATCTGCCGTCCCCATGAACTTTCGCATTGTTCAACTTATTGTCTCCTCTCGGATCGTGTCAGGAGTTACAAACCCGCTCAATGGGGACTTTTATTAAACATGAACGCACATATGGACTGCGGTGAGTGGCGCATTGCACTCGTCCTCACGGTCGATAATCAATGCCTGTGCTTTGCAGTGACTAAGAAACACGGATCACCATGGAGAAAAGGAGGAAAATGTTGCACCTAACCGAAAGACCGGCTAATAGGACTCCAGTGGTTCGCCCTTTTAGTTCCACTAATGTCTGAAGTGAATGTTCATTTCAAAGCATGTGGATGACCTGATTAGAAACTTTTTTTGCCTGTATCGAACTACAGGAATTGTGTTCAGTGAAAACAGTGAGTAAAAAAATAGTGAACGACCTCTAAACGTACCAAATACGGCCTTGGAGATTGTCGAACCGTGCTTAACCTCTCGCTTGAAATTCGGACCGTGCTTTTCAATGTTTGGGCGTGTGCATCGCATGTGCTTCACATCATCTTCCCATTTCTGCTAGTTACAGTATTTTCCCCCACATCGCGAGTTCTCGTGGTTTAATAATTGGCAATGTTTGAAAGAATTAAAGGAGTTTAAATAATAATGAGATATAATCAAAATCGGTTTGCTAGACTCAGGTTCAATGGTAGGCATCCCAATATTACTAACACCATATGCCGCCCCTATTCATAACTCAGTCATTGTAAGCAAAAAACAGCCGTGATTTATGTTAGGTAATGTAATTTTCTAAATGCCTGATAGCGCAAGCAACTTGCAGGGTTAGGAATGCAGGGCGACCCTGCTGCAGGTAACCATGTACACCAATAACTAGGGTTATACCGGTGGCCACATTTGGCCGGTGGGCCGATGGCCGATTATTTTCTCATACCTATCGGCCGGTGCCGGTGCCCATCGTGACGTGTAGAGAAACAGAGAAAAAGCATTCGACAAAATTTTTAAAAAGTCAAATGGGCATATTATGAATGCACGTTCAATTATATTATTGCTTCCACACTGGGTGTTTCGATCACACCCATGTATCGACCTGAAACGTCGATAGTGCAACGATGCAGGCGGAGGGTGGGGGTGGGGGTGTCAGCGGATTCAGTCTTTTCTCACTGCAATCGGAATCAGGTTTCTGCCTCGTTTCCGCCATTTCTTGCCTCGATCGGGGCGCGGACCTGTATCAGCGTTCCATAATCTGCCGCTTGTGATTCGAGGAGTTGGAGTGGGAGGTGTGACCTTCGCAACGGTGATAAAGCTTACCATACCTCAACTATCGAAAATGACATCAATACATCGATGGGTGAACTGCGATAGCCCTAATTTTTTCCTATTGCCGTTGAGAATCGGTTACCGAGCCCCGTTCACGTGGTTTTTTTTTTCCTCGTTCAGCACGTTCTTCTTTGAACATCGGCACCGGCCGGTTCCAAACCTGCCGATGGCCGATGTGGCCGATAATCCGACACCGGCGGCCGATACCGGTGTTAGCCGATACATCGGTACAGCCCTACCAATAATCGAATCGCATACATTTATTCTCAAGTCACAGATAACAGCAAGAGACATGCGTTTTCTGAATATCCGGTCGAGTCAAACATGATCCAATAAGTCTTCGCCCGTTTTCAAGATGAACACCATAGCTGATCTCAGCTCCCCACTAGGAACATAGAACACTTCAAATACTAAACCTACGGAAATAGAGTCGCTCGTGGTTTCATGGTTTTCTCATAATCGTGTTTCAGAAGACTCCTTCTAAAAGTTTAATTGAAACTGAATGCCTTTGACCTATGGAAACAAATAATCTGGGCTTCTTCTCGCTGGCCTCTGGAAGCCTCTCTGACACGTCATTCAAGATATGGTTCTTCTTCGTATTTCTCATTATCGGCGAACTCTCATCGAAGAAAACCAAGTAGCTTGCTTAAAAATGATAGAAATAAGACCAAAGTGATAGACTTGTGTCAACAGGAAACAGAGCAGCAGCTCTACGACATTGCTTCATGGACTGCACGATGTGAGCTGAACCAAATCCCACAATAGGTAGTCACAATTACCAGCCACTTCGATTAAAAGTCGCATCATGTCCAAGTCGCAGCGGAAGGTCGTGGAGTCAAACTTTTCTGCCCTGCGACGCAGTCTCATCCACGGCGACATTCCAGAGGCGATCGCGCTCATGAAGGTCGTTCGATGACCATCCGTGTTTCCCTTTCTTCCTCGACTCGGGCACTGACGAAGTTGGAACGATTTTTGTTTCAGAACGGAGCATTGCTGCATCAGACAGATAATGATGATCACACGGCACTGGATCAGATTCTTAGCGATCGGCAGCCCCGTTTTGTATTTTCCAATTACGAAGTGTTTTGCAAGTCGGAAGTGTACGTCTGGGGATCAAATGCCAACCACAACCTGGGCATGGAAGTCCTTGAAAGCAGGGCACAAAGAGATACGTTCGACTGCTTCGGAAGTGACCCGGCTCAAAATGAACAAGTCCAGATTTATTATGTGAGTTTCCAGCTCATGTTGACTATTAAGAAACCAGGAAAAGTGCAAGATGTGTTTTGTTTAGGTTTGCCAGGTTGCATGTCAAGGGTGTCAGGGATGTCTGAGCATGTCTTGTGTTCATTGTTTACCGTGTTCATGTTACTGTCTTTCCTCGTGTCTAATGATAATGTGTGTTTTACATTCAAAATGCATGTATCTCACATTAGGTGTCAATGAGCGAGAATCACACTCTGTTCCTGGCAAGAGGAGGGAAAGTCTACAGCTGCGGACGTGGTCTAGGAGGGCGGTTGGGACTAGGCACGGAGGAGAATCGGCCAGAGCCGAAACCGATCCCCTGCTTCGAGACGACGCACAAGTGCGTTGCGGTTGCCACCGGGGCTGATCATTCTCTCTTCCTCACAGAGAGCAAGATGGTACGGCATGCTGTCCTATGGTGTCTCTATTGCTAACAGTCAAATGAGAGTCGGCACAGCTCATGTTGCTTGCAGATTTTCAGCTGCGGAAGGAATGAATACGGACAGCTGGGATGTTCTTTGGATACTACCGATCGTGTCCTGACTCCGAGAGAGATACAAGTTGGTCAAGGGCGTGGATTCAACTCGATCGAAGGGATCGCGTGTGGTCCTTTCCATTCCATTATCTATTCCTCTTCTGTAATGTACACATTTGGCAGGAATGAGGGGCAGTTAGGCCACAAGCGAGGCGAGGAGGTAATCAAGGAACCCAAGTCGGTAAGGATTCCCTTTGCCTTCGTTTGTATATTGAGAAATACGGGTATGATGACTTTAAATTCCATGTTTTACTTGGAGCAAGTACAATGCCACCCCCTCAAGGACATCAAATATGTAGCCACTTGTGAGGTAGCGACAGTCGTGCTGGCTGGAGTTCCTCGTTCTCTTCTGCTTTTCCATGATTACCAGTGTCGGAAGTTGCCAATCACGAAATTCAAGTCAGTTCTAACGTTTGACTCTGATTTCCTACACTGGCAGAAAGACCAAATTTTGAGGTTTGCTTTGGAGCTTCTTAATGGACGCTGGGCTCTTCTGGGATTTTAGGTTGAAGCGTGCGGAAAGAATAACGGTCACAAAAAGTGTTTATGGAAAGGTGACGGTCTTTATGCTGGACTCGCGGGGCTACGTATTCTTCTGGAGAGGAACCAATTCTAAACTCGGCAAGTCAGTTTCCCTTCGTATGTCTTTGCTCTCGCGTGGAGGCACCAGCTGAACTCCTTTCAAACCTTTATTATAATTATTACTAGCTTATTCGTTTTCGCATGTTTTGTAGATGGGCAAAATCATTTATTTTATTTTTTCTGAGTTGACCTTTGACCTAACCAGGATGACCTTTCACATTCATTTTGAACCCAAATTCCTGTGATATATGATTTGAAAGGCCTGCATTTCCTCTATTAGAATTCGTTTTTATATAGCAAAACCATTCACATTTCATCCTGCTCTGGTCAATCTGAGTTGAGAGTCCACTGGCGCCATCTCTGTACAGTCTAGATAACTGCTACCGTACTGCACCAGTATTCAAATCTTGACTTCTCATGGAAGCTCAGACTTCTTAGTTGTACTGGGAAGTGTTCGTCGTTCTCATCACCCGCAGGATTATTATCAGATCGGCTATCACAAACGTTTTATTTAGTTTTAGCTTACTTTTTCCCAAGGAACAGATAAGGATGAAAGAAGAAAAGATCCCATGAAAACACGTGAGATTCGGCCAGGTTGAGTGTGATACTTAGCCTAGACCTACTTTAAGGATCTATTGTAGGCTTGGGTGCCAAGAATGATCTACTCATTCTGCCCAACAACGTCGAGTCAACACTGACAAAATTTTGAGAAGTTTGAGACAGTATTGAAGGATTGAGTTGTTTTATTCAATTACTAAACTCCAGTTCTGATCCAGTTAGGAAGTTACTCGGATGGACCCTTCCTTGGTATAATTGCGCTTATTAGAGTAATTTCAGTTCTAATCAATATTAGCGGTCGCTTAGGCTCAGGAAAAGGAAGAGGTAATGGCCAAATCTTGACAAGTGACATAATTGGCACAACCTGACGCATGATCCTAACTTTTAACGCTGAACTGCTTTTCATTTCAGCATTGCGGCAACATTGAATCTACCTTTTACACACCGTAGTAGAAACACTGCTACGTATAAAAATGAACCCTCGCTCAAAGTTGACCCGACATTGTTGTGCCGAATGGGTACGCTTTCCAATTATAGAATCCAAGCAGAGGTACCCGGCATTGCACGGGTGAATATTGTATACGTCCCATATTTGTCTGCACAAAATATGGTAGGGTAAAACTGCCAATGTTCGGACAGTTAAGCTGGCCGAGTCGCTCTATCTCAACGGTACAAGCTGGAAACCTCATTTTTTTGTTAATGGCAGCACGACACGAGGAGGTGTAAGTGCTACAAAGGTGTTGCCCTTCCTAGCATCATGAATTCTGATATTGCCTATAACGTGATGTCCGAACTTGATGGAAAAAGTAAAGTTCGGACACTTTTACCTTAGGTCGGGCACCCCAGTTTTAAAGTCTCAATGATTCTTGAAACACTTGATTGTGATGCAAAGAAATGATAACCCGGTCTCAAAGTGCAGTATCGAACCTTTTCTCAATATTCTAGTGTAGGAAGATTGTGATTGAGTGGGTGATCGCCTGACTTTCATTCTGTTCAAGATGAAATAGAAAGATCAATCTTGGTATTCAAAAAGCTCTGATTTTGCGGGATTCAGGTAGCTTTTTTGGAGAGGCGCATCTTCATTTTTTTGCACTAACGAAGAGACATGAAACTTGTAGCATCGGTACTTATTGAGCAGCAGATTCCAGGCACAAAAAAAAACTGTTTTTGGGATGCGTTGCCTGGGACCACATTTTGGGCTGGACCTTACCAAAAAAATTATTTCGTTCCCGGGAATCATAGACATTACGCTGAAACCTTAATAAATAGGTACCTGATGGTATGCAGTCATAAGGGAAAATCCTAATTCCAGGATTTATCTCATGGGGGTTATTTTGGGAAGCCATACATTTTAATGTTTTGCTACGCTGAATCTGGTGCTGGTGGGTATAGAAACCTGGAATTTGGAAGCTAGGTTTTCTTTCAGTCGCTAACTTATGAAAATATCCTTATCTTGTAGTAAATCCCTTGGATGCACATTTTTCATTCGGGTCATATTTTCGGAATTTTTTTTAAAGCAGAACGGGCAGGCACAGTTTATTACATTCAGTAGACAAGTTTTTATCTGCATGATTAACTCAGAAAATATCCAACCTCAGGGACAAATCCCCACTCCCAGTTTTGGAAGTACAACTCCTAGAGGTACATGTGTTTAGCAGACGGGTCCACCGTATGAAATGCTGGCCTTCCACATGATATCTCACCGAAATTAAAGCCCTGATAAATTTTTCATCAGCCTCGGGTCGATAATCCCTTGCATTCCAACCTCCTACCATGATTGCACTGCTTTGGAGGGAAGAAACACATGATCTTGTATTTTTGCATATGTGCTCGACGATGTCCGAAGTTACTTGTCCCGCTATGAAAGTTCGGACAGGGGTAAAAAAACAAAAAAAAAACAAACATGTTCCCTGAGAAGTAGGACTCAACTGAGCTTTTGTCAATTCTAAACATTTTTTCTCGCATTAGAGGACATCATATTTACGCGAATATGACTCACATGGATGAATGTCCGAACATAAGTTTCTTTAAAATGTCCTTACCTCAGTTCGGACACATCGAAAGTAAGACAGTAATCCGATCAAGGCATGTGCATTCTGCTTAACGGGTCTCCATGTCTTCCCAGTTACCTGGTAAGTAAGAATTTAGCGCAAAAAACAACGTCAGGTGTAAAACGTTTTAAAAGTAAGGGTTCTTTCTTACGGTTTCTCATAGGACTCCCCCTGTTCGCGATATCACATTGGCCCTAGTCCAATATCTTGGAACCGTGCAAAGCCTTCATCACCACCGCTTGTCCTTTGCTCAGTAATGTGTTCATCTCGTGATTGGAAGAACCACTTCTGAAAGCGGCCTCGCGAATGCTTAGATTTGCAACAATGTTTGTTACAGTGTTACAGTTAAGTCGAACTTCGGTGGTTTTAATCTACACCGGGGCAGGGCCAGATTTAGGGGCAGGCGACCCAAGCGACCGCCTGGGGCAGAGGGGGGGGGGGGGAAAGACGCTCCTCGCCATTTGATCTAGGGCCGGTCCTGCCCAGGGGGGTCCGAATTTTTTAACTCCACCTAGCCTATGACCATCCTCGGACCAAATGAGAAAGCCATGTAAAGTTTGGTCGGATTTGGATCAGAGGCGTAACCGTGCATGAAGGATGGACACACAAACATTCCGAAATATGATAGTAATAGATAGATAAATCGTGAGTGAGTGACTAACGCTAATTCTAAACACGTTCCAGATAAGGTAGAATTCTGAAACTTGGTACACAAGTGGCTATTAGGATGCAGAGTTCATAAAAAATCTGACTTGAACATTTTCTTAAGGGAATATGGGACTTTGTTAATGCTCCGTTGATGTGCTAGGGTGCCACATGGAATGATAGTTAAAATGAGTTTTGACATGTGACATCGGAGCGCTGTGTTCCATTGCCGTTTTGCTTTTGGGATTTTGTTGAGTTCTTTTTCTTCGCCTTTGTTCAGATAAAGCTCCATTCACATAATTGGGCGTTACTTTGCCTTAGAAGATGCCCCGGGGCGCCATTTGTTCTAGGGCCGGTCCTGCCCTAAGAGGTCCGGATTTTGAAACGCCACCTAGTCTATGACCATTCCCGGACCAAATGAGGAAGCCATGCAAAGTTTGGTTGGACTGGGATCAGAGGCATAAAGGACAGTCAGACAGACACAGAGACACACAAACATTCGAAATATAGTAAAGATTGCTACATAGTAGTGACTGAAATTGATTGTATGTTGTGCATCTTCATGTCTGCCTGAGTTCTGTCTCTCTGGGCATTTACGGACGTATAAGCATTTTTAAACCTAAGTTTTCACTTTTTTTTCCTGTGGAAAATAATTCCTTCATCATGCCACAAAAGACGTCGACAGAAACAGCTGGTAAATATCCTTGCGCCGATGATCGTAGGAGAAAGCGAATCGTGCGTGAGAGTAATAATGATGTCGACCCCTCTTAACTTTCGAGTATCGAGGCCGAACGTTCCTGCTTACGCTGAGCAAATGAGACAGATTCCGAATAGGATAAGCGATATAGACGACATTGGACATGAGCTGGGCCTGGAGGCAGTTACCAAGAGCGTTCAGCTGTGATTATTTTTCATTGGGGAGTATTTTTTTCTTGCAATCGTCATCCAGTGAACAAAATCGAATTACACCGTCTAATCATCGCGTGTGCACACAGGCTTTCGACTAATCTCACATTTCTTCTCGCTTGTTCTAAAAAGTGTTCCTCGTTCTCATCACACGCGGGACTGCTATCATATCGGCTTTTGGCATTATCACAAGTTTTTTTTTTACGTTTTTGCGGACTTTGTCCTAGGGAACATATAAGAGACAAAGGATCTCCTGGAGGTATGTGAGACCAGGCCAGGCTGAATGTGATGTTTTGTTTAGATATATTTCAACCATCTATTGTCGGCCTGGGTGCTTCGACTCCTTCTGAACAATAACGTTGTCAACATTGACAATCCTGGAAAGAACGTTCTTTGAACGCTTTAGTGCAACTTGGGAGCATTCAATTCGGGAAATGCATGATTTAAACTGTTGATTGTTCTAAATTTAAGATATTTTGGGAATTAATAAAACGCTCCCAAAGACGTTAATATAAAGTTGGCAAATACTTAAAAGAATCGTTCCTTGAATACATGCTAATGCTTCGTGTGCTACTTGAGTGGTACGTAATCTCTGAACGCTCCTTCCACGATAGCAGTGCTCTTCAATTCCTTCAATTTTCAGCAGGTTTACTGCGACTGGTAGGCCTATATCTTTTTTATTATGTGTTTTCAGTATTTCCAGAATGGGATTGATATGTTCATCTTATACGAATGCTGTGACTAACAAACTATATAAACGGCAAAACAAAAGGGTATTTGTATTATTGTTAACACTCGCACTTGGTTTTCCCTTTCAACGTTGGGATGCGTACCTCTTTCCCGCGTTTTACATTGTGCATTCACGAGTACCATCGAAATATAAATGGTACGGGCTCAAAACCTGTTAAAATAAAGAACCCAAATTTCACCGTTCCGGTCAATTATATTCTGGAATGAAAGCAACATTTTAGTTGCTGAGTTTTCGTCTTTTACCCCTTCTTTAGGTGCTCGTTCAGATTGAGGAATGATGAATTTCTCGGGAGGATTGTGGACCTGGCTCCCAGTTCGCAATATCTTATGGTTGTCACATCAAGGGGCGAGGCATATTCAGCAGCCTGGAATGCCATAATCAAGAATAAAAATAGCAAGATGCTATGGAGGTGGAAGCTACCATTCAATCACGTGACAAGGTTTCCACTCATTCAAAGGGGATTCCGAGTCTTCTGTGACCCCAAAGGGGAAAATGTTGTTTTTCTCCAGGTAGAATATCCAGCCTTCAGTGTAGCAATAGCTGGTATTCATTTACATTGACCACTAATTCTAATGAAAAATGGAAAATGCTTCGGATTCTCTTCCAGGAGCACCCGAGGGAATGCTGCGATTGTAACCAAGAACCAGATGAAGAGAATGACGGATCCCACGTTACTCAATCCACAATGAAAAAAGACATGGCATTTCTCCTTGAAAACGCAGAGGAGTTGTCACCAGACATCACTCTGATTGTGAGAGATCAGTATACCACCTGTAATATTGTGTCACCAGTATCAGTAAACCAGACATAATGCAATGGTATAGGTTGAGGGTAAGAGATTTCCAGCTCATCGTCTCATACTGATGGAGAGGTGCGAATATTTCCGAAACCTGTCTGAAATGAACTCGAAAGCCGACATAGTTCTGGACGGGATGAGTCATCAGATATTCCCACATATTCTTCGCTACGTCTACATGGGAGATTGGTCTCACTTTGTGCCCTCCCACTTAAGCATTAAACTGAGACACGTTTAACTTGTTCTCATAAGCTTTCATTAACTGTTAAATAGGTCGACTGATCCCTCGCGCCAGGCAAAAGAATTTGCCGAGAAACTACATCTTATGCAATTAATCAAGTACCTCGCAGCCTGGGAATTGTCTGATTTCAGCGTTGTACAGCCTGCTCCAGGTAAGTTACACGGATTCATATCTCGCAAAATGTTTGATATAAATGGGATGCGAAGAAACGCTGCAATTCATGTTTCAGACGTGTTGTTGGATCCACCAAGAAGCGGCTGGTTCGTCCACGGTGCTTGGTCCAGCTTGGCAGATATAACCCTTCTGAGTCGGGACGGGAAGGAATTCCCGTGTCACAAGTGCATCCTCATGGCCCGTTCCGAGTACTTTCGTGTCATGTTCGACTCCACCTGGCTCGAGGGTCAGGGGAAGGAGAAGGTGTCACTTGCCATAGCAGCGGATGTCATTCAGGTCGTTCTTGATTATCTCTACGGGGATTCCCATGTCTCCGTGTCTGAGACAAACAATAGCACATTCATTTCCCAAGTCCTTGTTGCTGCTGATCAGCTGCTCCTGAACCAGCTCAAGGCAAGTGGAAGAAAATGAATTTTTTTTTTTTACGTGAATGTATGGTGACCAGAATTTTACGGCAACATTTACGAAGCTACGTGAGGAACTTCAAGAAAGCAATGAGGTCTTGCCGATGTCAGGATGCGACAACGTGACGTAACTTTTGATGGTGAAATGGTAGATACTTTCCTTTTATGTACAAACAATGGCAGGGTCCGGAATCAGGTTGCTCTGTATTGAAATGCATCTTTAAAATATATAATTATTGAATATTATCACAAGAGCACCTTTGTTAGCACTTATGTTCATCCCAGCATCTATCTCTTTGTTATAAACATCAGTTTGATGAAGAAATGACCGCCTATTTGTACTCATTTTACAAAGATTCCATGTAACTAGATAAGGCGCATTCTTGGAACCGTATCACTCTTTCTTTATTGTGTCTCGCCATCCCATGGTCGTCACCCTGAAATTAAATGCAACCAGATGTGGTAATAGAACATCAATGTCTAAGGATATTTTATCCCTTAAGCGTTTCCATTGGAAACATTTAGGAGCTAAACAATTATTGACCAAGCCATGTCATTATTTTCATTTGGCTTCTCGGTGAATATTTCACTCCTTACATTTTTTTGGCGGAAGACACAAACTGCTTCCCATGTTCGCTGCGCGAGGATGCCAAGGAGGATTATCATTTTAGCTCTGCAGTGCTTGGAGCAAATGGTCGACTTGGTCATTTCGTTTCCCTGTACTACTCTACCAAGTATCGTGGCCTCAAAGTAAGACGTAGTATAAACTTTTTCACGCTATTCTTCATAAAGCAGAAACAGCTCTGTTCTCTTCACAAGGCGCAGTCACATTTTATACCTCACCTTCAAGAACGATCCGTAGTCGTCCAGCCTGAGGAGGGAATCGAGACCGACGTCGACGCCAACCGGGACTTTCTGCGTCTCCAGGAGGCCCTCGTCCTCCATGGTGCGCCAGAGTTGCAGGTGGTTCGGGAGGAAGTCGATGATGGCGAGGAGCGTTCGGCTTCTGGAGACGCTCTCCAGGAGCCAGGAGTCTTCTACGTTCACGGTGATGGAGACGTTGGATTCGCAGCCGCGAAAGTCTTTGGGGTGGACAAAATGCAATGTGCTGGAATGATGGCTGTCGTCTCCTGGGCTGCTTTTCTCAACAGTGCTCGTCTCCAAAGCAGATCGCAATGCCTCGTCTGTGACCAAGACGGCCACGTCGCCTTCGAATTCCTTTTCTTTCAAAGCGGAACGGAAACACTCCAAGGCCTCCATGTAAGGCGAACATTTCTGATACCCCTTACAAACGTAACCCCAATGTTGACCGGGGCATTCGTGCCTGGCAAGCGGAATCACGCGCCTCGGCTTGAGGCCGTCGACGACCGCACCCGGCCGAGAGGCGGTGGGGAGGTTCTTAGCCTCCAGGCGCAGGGGCGTCTGGGTCTCGTTCCGCCGAATGTGCGACAGAAGCAGCGGACTGGTGCCGCACGGAAGAGGCTTTGCGGCGGGGAGAGTCATCACCTCCACGCCCTCCTCGGTCAGGAAGGATCTCAACTCTTCGAGGGAGATTTTCGGACCTCCTTTCGCGTGGGGCTGGAACACGATCGTCAGCGTCAGGTTCCCATCCTGCTTGAACTTGGCGATGGCCAGCCTCCAGTTCTCGATCTCCCGTTTGGCGTCCTCGGCTTGGATCACGTAATCGTCCACGTGAATATCAATTGTTACGTTCGGAGACTTTCGTCGTATCGCCTGAACTCGATCGTGATCGATGATGTCCATGGGCGCCAGCGACGGCGACCTGATCATGTCTCGTATGTCCATGGAGCCCCAAAAATGATTCAACCAAACTTCCTGACACAGAGCGCTCCCAAAATGCAGCAATATGTAGCAAAATCATAACGGATTGGCGATCAAACGACACCTTAACTGAGCGCCAAAAAGCTGCACATCCGTGTCCACAAAACCCCTTAGAACAGGGACTGAACATCCTCAAGAACGTTCGAGTACTATTTCGAGTACACATAAAAACACCCTCATAACGTGACACCTTGTGATGATAGTTACACGTTCAGCCCAGGCAGCATTGTGATTCCCAGGGTTTTCCCAAACCGTCTGAGAAGAGTGTTATAAATTACATTAGGTGATAAATTGCAGGTGATTTGGCAATGCCTTCAGGCTGCTTTATTCTCTGTCTGTGACATCTCAAATTATTCATTCGTTGTTGCTCTTCCTTCAGCTCATAACTTTTATTTATTCATGAAGAAACGTTAGTCGTACTAGTTCGAGAAGATTGGACGTAACCATCGCATTATGCTGTTTGCTTTAATGGACATTGGAGAGTCTTACTTTGTTTTCCTCTTCTCAACCCCTTTTCCAGAAAAGTACGGTGTAGTGCCCAGGGCCGATGACCGAGATAAAATTCGCAGGATTCTGCAAGATAAGGGGGTGAAGTGGAATAACGACAAGTACCCACCTGCTCCTCTACAGACGAAGGCCAAAGTTGGGACGCCTGGGGTGTTGGAGTCCCTCTCCATTTCCCTTACGGGTTCTCTCCTTCATCTCCCGCTTCTGAAGGTATGGTCTCTCCAGTCGCATCCGCTGATTAAATTAGCTTCCTTTTCCGACAAGAGATGCAAAATTACCTCTGGTGATGCTCAGAGGATTCAGGGCAACCATCGTATAGAGTTTCAAGAAATTGCAGAGGGGAGTTTAGCTGGTATACTTATCTTGTCGAATGGTATTTATTACGTTCATATCTGGTTTTAGTTATACGGTTTCATTAGATGCTATTCATCATCCCAGAAATAACCGTAAAATAGTGCTCTGCCACGTCTGGACATTATTATTTATGGGAAAGATTTAGCCAGACTGGTTCCAGTCTGGCTATTCCCTCGGCAGTACCCCAATATTGGGTCAATATTGACTGCCAAGGAATATGCATATTGGCCCGGTATTGGCATCCATCTTGGCCCATTATTGGGATTACTACACGGAAAAACATCGAGCCAATATTGGCGTTAATATTTTTCCTAAAATTTTTATCCAGTGGAGGCATACCTATGGTAAAGGCATTTCTATATGCAGTATAATACGGCCTGCACCAGTATAACCCCTTACCCATGCACATGACTGTCCCGTGGATGGGCAAGAGACATAGAACTTTACAGAGGTTGATCTTCCCCTAAAGGTACTAATTGTAGCACATTTCAGGAGAAGGTCCCTCTCCTTACTGTTCTACGGAGTATCTGCGAATGCAGTCCTTCGTTTCCTTATTATGTCCTCATGATGCGGAAACGGAGGATTAAGCCGCGGATATTTTCCATGCTCTAATACTCCCTTCGGATAGGGTAATGCCCACAGTAGCATTGGCTCAATTCTGGACCGACATTGGGTACGTTGACTACGTCTTGGGCAATATTGCCAATATTGCCTGAATGATGGGGAAACAATGCAATTCCGATATTGCTATATCATAATTCATCCAATATTGGACCGACGCGATGATCCAATGTGCCTGACCGCACTTAAATTTTTTGGGGAAATGTTGAAGTTCTTCTTCAGGCCACTAGAAGGAGGGAAAGGGCTCGCTATTTGCACAGTACACGTAAGTACCCTTTCCTCTTTCCCTGTAATCGTCCCTCATAGGAGTGTTTAGTACCTCGCCATGTGTCTCGCCTAGTCTCATTATAGCAATCAATAAAACGGGATAATTTATCATTTTTATCCGCATATTTGAGACAGAATCATGGAGTCCAGAAAATAACGAAGCCCCCCCTACGAACCCCTACGAAGATGGAGGTTTCCTATTCGAAAGAGTCCTAGAATAAGAAAAATAACTTCGGCTCAATCCCTCTTGTCCGCATCCTGAGGTCATAATGAGGAAAAAAGAGATTGAAATCGTAGTTACTCCGTAGAACATAAAAGGTGCAGATCTCCCGAAATGTACCACAATTAGTACATTTACGGTAGGGTCAACCTCTTGGAGAATCACCTGAAGGTGGTTCTCCAATTCAGAGGAAGATTCAACTCCCCAATGTACGGCATAACATTTCGATCTTGGGCCATTAATAGCTATGAAGGGGGCCTAAGCCCTTCGTCTATGATATGCTATGGTTGGCCATTTGGCGACTTTCTCCCACTCCGCTAGGAAGTTGCTTCCGGCACCGGAAGGGCGGAGGGTGGAAGCATCACGCATGAAGGATTTCGGAAACTTTGATGAAGTGTCTGGCAGATGCCATGATGCATGAGGTGCCATAAACTTCAAGCTTGTCACTGATGGTCTCCAAACACTTTCCGAAACGTTTGGAAGATGGCGTGACGTCGCTAGACTTATGGAAAACATAGTAAAGTCTTACCAGGGGGCTGGACCGGTCAAAATGAACAGATTGTTCTTGCCATGGCTCACTCCTGCGAATGCAACTTAGTTTCATCTGGACAGAATTTCCCTTCATATTTTCCCATCAATTATTTCAACGTTATTGAATGATGGTTATATGGAACGACGATACGAGCCATTCATTCATTCAGAGTTCTCTAATATTCTTTTTATTTCCTTCAAATTTCTCATCTTAGGTTGAAACTCACTTATTTCAATCATCATATGAAGCATGTGACATTGTAATTGGACCAGTCCATGATTCCATTTGCTTGACAAAACTAACGAACGATGTGTTAGTCTTTTGAAATCCATTAGATGTTCAGCAAAGAAACTCCGAAGGACAACATCTCACAGTATATCACCAGATATACTGTGAGATATACTCTTTCCATCTGGCCTGACATCTAGCAGTTCATTCAATATAAATAAAGTTCCCACATTATAAGTGAGGTTGGCGGGGAACCCAACCGTTGTACGTATCTCGATTCCCTATACAGGTATACTTCTGGATGGTTTCTGGGGAATCTTTCATCAGGCTTTGAAACGTGCAAGCAGAGGAAGGAAAGTCATGAGACATTTATTGAGATGCATAACCCAGCTCAAAGGGACTAAAGAAACATCTTGCACAATTCATAGAGAGAGATGGGTTCCCCTGATCAGGTGCGACAAGGGGCATCCCTTCGCATCTAAGTTATGTCGTCCTTGGGGATGGGGAGCAGAATCTGCTGATCGAGATGCTTATGACGGAAAGTAAAGAATTCTATATTTTCCATCCTCACACTTTTCTTTCAGTCCCCTCGAGGGACCTGGAAGAATGAGCTTACCGTTTACGAACTGCAAGATCACTAATCTGCAGGAAATACTGACTTCTTCATTGCATATGAATGCACAAAAGAAGAAAGAAAGCAATGCCCTTCAGTGTGCCACGAATATACCCCTCCATACAAATTTTGCTCCATTTCTACGTTCACTGTACGGGTTCACTGTACAGTAGTTGGATCCCTCCATGGTCATCCAATTGTTTTCCCATAAGTAACCTCAAATGAATCAGAAAAAAGAACGGAAGTTCAATAAGACACTGAATGGACATGTCCAGGGATTATTCTTGGACGAGACGATTAAGTAATCCACTGGATGTCGATGTGTCCTTGAGTAATTGTGCAAAGGATTTATTTTGGCTTAAAAGTGCTTATTCGTTGCTAAATATTTGTCTGGATATGTGAATTCATGTCTATGGATTTTCTATTCAAGTGCTCTCGTTCTAAATGATTTTCTCCCGTTTGCATAGCTGTACTTAGGTGGTTCTTGAGTGAAGGACGCCTGTTTCCTTCCATATACAGAGAAAAATTGGGGATGGAGACATCTATTCCCTTATCCAATCAGGAGCGAAGGTTCTGAAGAGGCCTATTGTCCTCATTGCGGAAAAATCCCAGAATTCGAGTGAGAATTTTCTGAATGTGTATTTCGCTCCTTATAAAAACATATATTGAATAACTCCATCATAATTACTGATTTACATTTGTGAGCTTCCATTCTTTGGGATACTTACAAATGAAGCCAAGAAGCTGAAAGTTTCACAAAGCCGGAAAACTCAATTCCTTAGATTTATGCTTGACGGAATCACACTCACTATTCTTTCTCATTACCGTTGATCCGTGCATCGCCATGGTATTTTATCTATAATTAAAAAAATAAAATGCAATGTAATTTGGACAAGTTAAGATCTATGAAGTGCAGAGTATTCTAAGATAGCGTTGAACCCTGTAGATACTAACAGAAATTTGTTAACATAACGCCAAAAAAGACAGAAGTACAGGAAAGTAATAAGTGTTTCTGAATTTGTCTGTGTTTGAAGAAATTAATTTGTCTTTCACCATTTGGTGCCTCTTGCACGAACATGCTCGCTAAAATTTGCGGAATAGCGTGAAGGCATCGCGGAAAGAACTTTACATGAAAAAAACACATGCCTAACAGATGACGTGGTGTCATGAGTATATGCAACAGTCGGACCGATTTTATGGCCAAAAGAGAAGATTGTGAGGCGCTCTATTTTACAAGTATTTGCATGAAGATTCAGTGCTTTATTTCGTGAATATCAAATATATAACGTTCAAATGGATTTAATGCGGAGGAAGCGTTAGAGAATTTCCTGAAGGAGTTCAACATCCCCAAGTCCTATTTTCCCGGGAAGCTGTTCTCGAGCTGATGCACAACAGCAGCACACCTTATTTGGCCTGTGTTCATTTCACTGGAACAATATATCCATGACATTCAGATTGTATCCGTTTTTTCTGTTAAGCTGCAGTGCATAGATTTGTATAGTTCCAATATATGGTTCTATTTGTATTTCAATTTCCAAGAGTACCATTAATGGACTCTTTCATCATCTTGACGTTTTGCTTCATCCAAAAAAATACAACTTATTCCTTGACTCTCCTTCGAAAGTAACCTTCGCCTCCGTGTTCCATTTTTGTCATTTTTCTGTGTACTACCAGCTACTTAAAATCGCAAATAATTTGGATTGGATTAATCAATAAAAACTATAAAAATATGTTTTGAGTAAAGATAACATCAAACCACATTCGTTGAACACTCTGATACAAGTTTTGGGCCATACTGTATGTAGTCATGTGTCATTAATCCTGCAAGAGGATAAATGAGTATCCACCCGATGCACACCAAATACTTTTAAATGGTGCCATCCGAAGGGGATGACAAAGTGCACCATGCGCATTCCAGTATGTATCTCAATTATGTATTGGAAACTGGAACTCAGAGACTTGTAAAGTGAGGGTGAAGGTGAAAAATTAAGCATCTCTATAATGGGAAGTGTTCTATTCATCGTGATCCCATTTCACACGCTGAACGTGTGTTTTCTGCGTCGGGGAAATGTTAGAGACATTGCTATATTTCCAATGATTAAGGAATCTGATCCATATTGAAGATGCCAACGTTTTTGCCAAGCCCTGCACATGTTAAGGTCAACTTGGATGGAATAACTGAATAATGCGCATCGCATTCTCTCATCATATCCAATGCAAACAATAAAGAATTTCCTATCGTTGTATATTGAATGGAGGTTTAAAAAAAGGAAATCATGATCTAGCCACTCTGTTGGATGCTTTCCAGGGACGTTCCTTCCTCAAGAAGAAAAGGTTAAGGAAAATGAAGAATGGCGAGGCATTCTCCTTTATGCCAGTGGACAGGAAGACTCTCTCAATATCATCCCAATTGTTCGTTACGGCGGTAATGTCACAGCCCATCGCTTCTATCTGTCTTCTACCTGTCTTCTTCTGTCCCTACTCCTATTTTCAATATTCTCATCATGCTTCCAGGAGAATGTAGGGGTGCTGAACTGAAACTCCTCATTAATTTCAATTTTACTTGTCAACTCATGTTTTTCAGAACAATGTCTTCCTGAAGGGAAGAGTTCTTAACTTTATATTCACATTGAATCAATTCAATATGTTGGTCCATCTCATTTTCTATACGATGTGCAAATCTGGAATATAGGATTCTTTGCATGGCATGTTAGACAGCATGTTAGGTAGTCATGTAGCAAAATGCTGGAACAATACCCACCTACGATACATTTTCCCCGGCGTAATTCATTGCTGCGGTTGTCTTAAAGTTATTATTGAGCACTCGTGTCATCGTGGTATCACGCTCATTATTTTCAGAGATCAACGTAGGTTAATGGATCTGTATATGGCACATTGAATTATATGTTTAGCCACATTTCAACGTGCGATTTACAATGTCCCAGTGATCTGAGGCCGCTGTTTGAACATGCCAGACACATTTCATTGGTGAAATCATGCATTTTGGCGTATTGACTCACATTTTCCGCACCAGTGCCATGGCAGACAACTTTCCATCTGCAGTACCTATCCCTTCACTTTGCCTTTCTCCAGTTTTATCAATCCTCTCCGAAATGGTGTGCTAGTTTTCCATTACACCTGCGTCTGCTTTTGTAATCATTGATTTAGCAATCAGCGTACTATTCTATCATACTATATCATAGTTGATAATATGGCGTACATATTTGTCTTATATCGAGTGCTGAAAACGTATTTCCCGATTCTGTCCTCATCATAAGTAAATGATAAAATATTGATAAACGCCGAGATTTCATGGGCCGACAAAAAGGCAGTTACTTGTGTGGGATGTCAGTGGCGCTTGCAGGTTGCAGACTACTACGATTGTTAATAAGTCTAAAGTTTTCGGTAATGGATTCTGTTATGATTATGCTTTTTTATGACGGAGTGCGAAAGAAATGAACTTTCGACAAGTGCTTAATTCTCGCACCTTTCTTTTAGATGACTCAACTACAAATGTATGGATGGAGGTAGAGAACCTGCCCCAGCTATATGGTAACCGAATGGGGAGCTGCCCCATACCCCCCTCCCAGCGAAGAATCTACTTCGAAGGTGGTGTACGGGTGAAGTGGAGGGAACACACCTTGCCTCTTCTCTGGGCTCTCGATAGACACTTGGCTGGATTACCGCCTCTAATGCCAGGTTAGAAAAAACGTATTCACCCTATGAATATCTTAGCCACCAGGTGCTAAGGCTGGCTTAAATCCTGCAGTGAGTCCTCAACATGCATTATTTGTGAACGGCAGTTTTGATTGATTGTCTCAATTTCTTTTGCATGTAGGAGATCTACACTAGAAAGGCTTGAAACGGCTGTGCTAGGGGAAGCGATTTTATATTTAAGATCAACATATGTGATACATTCTTCACATTTTTGCTGAACCAATTGACAACCAATCAGTTGACTGCCACACGTGGCAACTGCCACTTGAGGCATATGCTGATAATGGAAATTGAGCGAGGTTATCTCCATCGTTCTGTCCGAGTCCCTTTATGAAAATCAGAAATTGTATGATATATTACGTCTATACATCTTCCGTTTCTTTCAATTCAGAGCTGTAGAAAAAAAGGAAGTTTGTAAAATTTTGTCGTGGGGTTTTCATGCATGTCAGGCCAAAAAAATGTGATCAAACTCTTCAATTAAATGCCCAAGTAACTTCACATGACTTTTCCAAGGGGAATTCATTGCCAGCCGGATTTGTATGCACTGATTGAAATACACAGCTGACACCATATGAACCCCATTGAATAGCAAAAGAAGCTCATGATTGTGTGGCAAAAGCTGAGATAAATTATTTTACTGAAAGAAAGTTTTTCCTCTGATCTCATACATCAAGAAGTAGCACCTCACAGAGAATGGTGACTCTGAGCGAGGAACTTGTACTTCTCATGGTGCTCTGGGACTTGCTCAGAGAAGGGCATGACATCGATCTCGTTCATGTTCGATAATCTACCTGTGACAGCTCTCATCGATTTCACAAAGTTAGGCTCCTTCCAGAGATGTTGCGTAGCTTTCATAGGCCGACATAATTTTTATTGGTAATTTGTTTCTTGCCAAACAATATCATTTATGATTGTACACACATTGAGAATTGCTTAAAGTCCACCCTTGTTCAGACAAGAGGTGCACTATTGTAAGTACCTCAGATTAATTCAGTTCCTTAACACGTTGGCGACAATGCGTCCTGATGCCAGGATGCAGATTTTTTTCAATGAATACCCTCTGGAAAAGTCATGTGAAGTTACTTGGGCATTTAATTGAAGAGTTTGATCACATTTTTTTGGCCTGACATGCATGAAAACCCCACGACAAAATTTTACAAACTTCCTTTTTTTCTACAGCTCTGAATTGAAAGAAACGGAAGATGTATAGACGTAATATATCATACAATTTCTGATTTTCATAAAGGGACTCGGACAGAACGATGGAGATAACCTCGCTCAATTTCCATTATCAGCATATGCCTCAAGTGGCAGTTGCCACGTGTGGCAGTCAACTGATTGGTTGTCAATTGGTTCAGCAAAAATGTGAAGAATGTATCACATATGTTGATCTTAAATATAAAATCGCTTCCCCTAGCACAGCCGTTTCAAGCCTTTCTAGTGTAGATCTCCTACATGCAAAAGAAATTGAGACAATCAATCAAAACTGCCGTTCACAAATAATGCATGTTGAGGACTCACTGCAGGATTTAAGCCAGCCTTAGCACCTGGTGGCTAAGATATTCATAGGGTGAATACGTTTTTTCTAACCTGGCATTAGAGGCGGTAATCCAGCCAAGTGTCTATCGAGAGCCCAGAGAAGAGGCAAGGTGTGTTCCCTCCACTTCACCCGTACACCACCTTCGAAGTAGATTCTTCGCTGGGAGGGGGGTATGGGGCAGCTCCCCATTCGGTTACCATATAGCTGGGGCAGGTTCTCTACCTCCATCCATACATTTGTAGTTGAGTCATCTAAAAGAAAGGTGCGAGAATTAAGCACTTGTCGAAAGTTCATTTCTTTCGCACTCCGTCATAAAAAAGCATAATCATAACAGAATCCATTACCGAAAACTTTAGACTTATTAACAATCGTAGTAGTCTGCAACCTGCAAGCGCCACTGACATCCCACACAAGTAACTGCCTTTTTGTCGGCCCATGAAATCTCGGCGTTTATCAATATTTTATCATTTACTTATGATGAGGACAGAATCGGGAAATACGTTTTCAGCACTCGATATAAGACAAATATGTACGCCATATTATCAACTATGATATAGTATGATAGAATAGTACGCTGATTGCTAAATCAATGATTACAAAAGCAGACGCAGGTGTAATGGAAAACTAGCACACCATTTCGGAGAGGATTGATAAAACTGGAGAAAGGCAAAGTGAAGGGATAGGTACTGCAGATGGAAAGTTGTCTGCCATGGCACTGGTGCGGAAAATGTGAGTCAATACGCCAAAATGCATGATTTCACCAATGAAATGTGTCTGGCATGTTCAAACAGCGGCCTCAGATCACTGGGACATTGTAAATCGCACGTTGAAATGTGGCTAAACATATAATTCAATGTGCCATATACAGATCCATTAACCTACGTTGATCTCTGAAAATAATGAGCGTGATACCACGATGACACGAGTGCTCAATAATAACTTTAAGACAACCGCAGCAATGAATTACGCCGGGGAAAATGTATCGTAGGTGGGTATTGTTC